ATAAATGCAGTCCAGTATCTAGGTCTGACTTATTAAAATTCTTGACTTCAAGTACAGTTAGGTCCTGTTTACATTTTGGGCTATCCAAGCATAAATTTAACAATTGTGAGAGAAATGTGATAAAAACGTTGTACATCAATCCAAAATAGTGGTCCTAGATTGCACTGTGAAACATGTCCCCCGATGGCTGATTTGGTGACCACAAATTCTGACAGTATTTACAATAGTAGTACAATTTTATTCTATTTATATAGTGCCTTAAGAGACTCAGTCTAGACCATAATTTAGAGTAACCCAACAGTTCCCACCCAGCAATGTGCCTCTGCCCTTGTGCTCTTTTTCTTTTCCTATTTACATTTACACACATCTATTGCTCTGACATACCTCAGGATGATATTCTGACACCGATTGCAATCAAGATTTTCTCAGATCCATCTTGCAGTGTGACATGAAATAAACATTATGTAGCACACTCTAAAGGTGCATTAAACAGAACACAACTTTCTTGTTGTCTTTGAGTCTTGAGTGCATTATCCCCCTCTGTACATCTAAGAAAACGGTGAGCTTTAGAGGGGCTTAAGGCCACGTTAATAGAAAAGAGTATCATCTACTGTATATAAATCTGTCCAACAATGGGTTTGCCAACTGTCCTGCTGATGGCAGACACTTGTGAAAATTATCATGATGAGTGTGAAGAATAATGAGAAAAGAAGTTTGCAATTTTGAATTACTTAATTAGAGGAAGTGTGTGCAAATATGCATTTTGGCAATAGAGAGGAAAATCTGATTTCATTTTGAAGTTGGCTGTAAAACCAGATTAATTTACCTGGATTTACCACAGGCAATTCTTGGATTCTTGGGCTTTCACTCTCTTTATTTACAGGCTGTGGGCGACACCTGTGCCCCATTTTCTGGCCTACATTTTGTTACATTTTGCCAAATCATGAAAAGTCATGCTGCAATTCTTCTAGAGGTTCCTGTTTGTACTGTACCATTAGATGTTCAGACAACGATCAGCCAGATTACTTTTGCAACTGAAGAAAATGTCTAAATTAGATGGTTATGAGGCATGAATTTGTATTTGTATCATTTCTGTCATGCTGATCCCAACAGCCTGTGTATTTCAATAGGTTGTGACTGAGAAGAAGAGGTGCAATGATAAGCAGGCTGCATCAGGCTTAATAGTCACTTTCATGGTCTTTAATTTTAAGTAGGCCTTACACATCATGAATGAAAGAACGTTTTCTTGCTTACAGTAGGACCATTGTCCAGCTGTATGCCCACATTTCTGTCAATTTTTCTTGCATCATTCTGTTTCTCCTCGGTGCTTCACATCAATCACAGTTTTTCTATCCATTTCCTTTCATCTAATATGTTCATTTTTCTGTCCACAAGGCAAGCATGCAAACCAAGCAACAGACCTCTCAAATGTAACAGGACATTGTAGCACAAAGGCAGGATAAAATGTCCCTCTTACTGGACATGTAGTGCTTAATCTCAACTCCAATCATGGATGACATTGTAGAGACTGTCAAGGACTGAAACATAATACAAATGTCTTCCTCTCCTATATATGAATTATAATACAGGAAAATTGGACTTGGACTGATATCAAGTTAATTTTAGTCAGGGTGTGGAATTGTGAACATAAAGTCCTTTTCGTAGCTATAATCTTGACACAAGTGGTCAATGATAATCCTGCCATATGAATGTGAGAGTTTTATAATAATTTGTAAAGAAGGTGAAAAGGTCAACCTTTTTTTACAATGCAAAACATTTTATATCGATCTCCATAAATAGCAGCTTTTAGAAAATGATTTTCTCAAGTGCTATACATCGTGATGAACATTGATGGCTTCCAGGTAAAGAGGAGTATCTGAGTGGTGACTGACTGACCCGACCTTGTCTCTTGAAACGAGCCGGTATGAAAGTTTCCACATGACACTAGCGCAGAGGCAACGAGCTGTCACTGCTATCGTCAGGAAACACTGAACATGCCTGTATGAGGAGATGATAAATTCATCACAGCGGCATCCCAGAGAGAGCTCTGCTGACACGACCTTGATCGATCGCAGGCAGAACGACAGATGGCCATAAAGGACAATCATGTAACTGTATGCTCATTAGCATAATCACATGCATATACAGCACGTTTTTTTTTTACAAGGCCACACGGTGCCTGCACAGCACCAGTGGGCTTGTGACAGAGATGCAAGTTGTTATAGTCTTGCTTGAGCCGTGGCACTTGGCAAATATGACAGGAACTGGCAGAATATAATTCAGTTTTTTGAAAATGCATACTGTCCAGCTGAGCTCCATTAAAACATGGCTACTTTTTCCACTAACATATTTCTTTTGCAGTGCAATACAAGTGGGAGGGTCTGGAGTAAAGGTTGCTCAAACATATGGGAGGCAATACCACCATAAATGGCAGCAATGTAGACAAGTAATTAGAGTGATCACTCATTAATGCAACAGCTACAGGTTTGATCTCTACAGCTGCCATATGGCCAGTCAAAGCACAGGAATGAACCTGCTAGCTCATACTTGCTCCCCAAAGCATATTTAAAAGTGGACTAGTTGTGTCTGACACATTGCATGCACTGTAAATGGTTAAACCATTGGAAATTATTGGAACTCTGCCTGTCAGTAGTTTTTTTTTTTTTTATTGCTTTAGCTACTGACAACGATCTATGAATCGACTATCTATGAACTAAGAGTCTACAGCCTCTGTGAGGCAGCAGTACAATGTCACAATGGCAATGCCGTTTCCTAATTTGCACTGCACAAAAAGTACAGCTGGGACTGATTCCATGTTAATCCTTCCAATAGCTGCCCCATTTGATTCCACCTTCCTTTGTCGTCCCCTGTCTTTCTTCTTTCAAATTTTATGGTTTCTGTCCTCTATTCTTTCATCCCCTCTTCCTGCCTAATCCCAATAATTTTCCATCTGTTTGCCTTCCCACTCTTCCTAACAACTTCCTTCCCTTCTTTCCTTGTCCACTGCCCTCTATCCACATACTCCCTTCCTTCCAATCCTTCCCCCCTCCTCCCATAAAACCCACCACTCCCAGTTTCTTTTATTTCCTATAACTCTGCTCCCCTCTTTCACTGCATCATCTGTACCCTCCACATTGTATTTTCAGATCACATCCAGGCGCTGGCTTAACACATTAAGTCACTCTATACCTCATCACTCAGTGGGAAGTCAAGGTGAGGGCAAAGAGAGATGGTGAAAGAGCAAAGGCTTGAGACAGAGGGGGACAAGAGGGAAGAAGCTGAAGGGGAGCAAAGAGAGCAAGAGTGTAAAAACGAGGGAGGTTAAAGGTTAAAAATTAAAGACAAAGCAAAGAGGTCAGGGAGAGGAGTTGGGGGAGAGCAATGAAGAGAAGCAAAGTGAGTAAAAGGAAAATAAAAGAAGGAGCGGAGGGAGAATGGGGTTAGCAAAATGAAATAAATCTTTATGCAAATGATGGGGCTCGGGTGAAAGACATGGGAGAGAAAAAGAAGATGGGATAGCAGAGAGAGAAAGAGGAGCTAGAGACAGAGAGGTGGAGAGTAGTCCAGAGATTTATGGCAGGTTGTTATGGAGCACCGACTGAATAACAGAAGGTGAGACCAGGTGAATTATTCATGAGAATACAGGGCCGCGTGTATGTGTGTGAGACATGTGGGTGACAAACACACTCACACACACAAATGTCTCTCAGGAACCCTTAGGCCAGCTCATCTATGAGGAAAACGAAAGACAAGCCACCCACAACCTGTGGACAGCCTGAATTATTCCTAAAAAAAACAGACAGGTGCTCAGGGACAGCTGTCCTCTCCTCAGACTGAATGAGTAGTCATTTTAAAAATATTATATTTCTTTATGATGAAAAAAAAGATTTCCATCCATCTTGTTTTTGCCTTTATCATTGGTTAGAGATTCCCATTTAGTTCTACACCTGGTAAGTTAACATGAGTTCACATCATTAGACACTATCTTTAAGGATCGACGCTTACTACCAATGATATGATGTAAACTTGAAACTCAAGAAACATAGCCTACTGTTTTGAAGGTAAATGAACCATATAATGATATACAATGCAGCCATGCATCTTTTCACTCATAGTCTAAGCATAAATATAGCCTCGCTTCTAAGGACATTGTGGTAAATATACTGAATTTTCTGCCCACATGTTCTCCCATAGTGCCATAATGCTGGATTGGAAAAGCCACACAGCATTTATTCCATGTGTCACTAAATGTGAAATCACACCTACACGTTGGTTGCTTTGGCCCAAACCAGAATGGAAAATATTACTTTGGTACAGTTAGGAATTTGCTGAGATTCACACTTTCCACTTACAGGTTAACCAAGGGAACTCAAAAAGATGAACAAGCAGCTTGAAGTTTTGGTGACTTGCCATCCTGCCAGGGTGGAGATTTTGGCTTTGGCGGTGAGAATATGGGGGCAAAATGCACTCACTTACGGAAATTTCAGCTAAACATTAGACTAATGTTGGAATTCACCGCAAACATTGCCATTGCCATCCTGGATGGTTTGGCTTTGATTCTGTTCTCACTACTAACATTTTGCCCAGCAGTTCTAAAATAACTGATCTGGATTTTCATTTTCATTTCCACAGCAAATCTCTCACCTACATAGACAAACTTACTTTAATGGAGAAAATGCTTCAGAGCTGGACATAACCTTTCCAGACATGCTTCATTTGAACACACCCTAAACTGATGACCATTAAAATTCGTCTGGCAAGGTTCAAGGTAAAGACAAGCTGTCCAAACCAACCTTATTCCGGGAAGTACAAACTGCACTTGAAACTTACTGTAAAGTGATGTGAACTAACCTGTTCTGTGTTTTCAGTTATAACCAAACACACAACCACAAACCAAGTTTCTACAACAATCAGGGAAAACATAAATTTCATGACTACTGATGATCAAAAAAACACTTTTATTGCATCATAAAAACACAGCTATTGTCTCAAACACTCACCGAGTTGATGCAGGCCAGCTCCTTGTTGAGCAGCCAGGGCAGGGAGAGTTTCCCCTCTCCTCTGTAGCACGACTGAATCCTCTCTTTAATCTTCTCCTTTATCCGTCTCATTGTGAACAGACACAAAGCCGACTCCTTGGGTGGCTTGGCTCTGTTCTTCTGACCCTGGGCGAATACAGTAAACAGAACCTCCTCGTGCTCTTGAATACCAAGTGAACGTGCCAGACGGGTTCCTGGCCGGGCCAAATATGCATCCTGAACCAAGCGGTACTCCACTCCGTCCTTGGTGCAGCCAATGGGGAACTCAACATAGGAGTAGAACTTAGGATCATCAACACATAGGCGGACGATTTTAGAGGTGAAGAATTGTTCGCTGCTTGCATCTGGTGAGGTGAGCTGGGTGTCGAGCTGTAAGGTAAGATAATACACAAACTGCTCGCTGTTGAATCCGTAGATGTAGTAGATGTCAAATGCCGGAAACTTGGAGAGTGTGTCTGAGGGAATCTTCAGCTGTGAGGAGACAAACTCATCCTGGTAGACGAAGCTGAACATGTCAGCGTTCTCCTCGTTGGACATTAACTTGCGGCTTGACAGTGTTGGAAAGTATTCAGATTTCCCATCAATGGGTGTGCCGACAAAAAGTTTCCCACCTCCACCAAAAAGATCTGGGGAGATCACGACACCTGACATGGTGCCTGCCTCAGCAACACTGGATAGATAATGCTCTTTACGGTGGTGGGGCTCACCGAGCTTGAACAAATCATCCAGACGCAGGAACTGGCATATTCCCTGGGAAGTACTCCCACAGGCAATTAAGCGGTTGTGGGCAGCATCGAGTAGCAGCAGTTTATTGACATTAGAGGTCTGCACCAGCTCGTGGGGGCAGGACTGGACACCGGGCGGAGGGTAACAGCGAGGGTTGTCTGTGACTGGGCCAGTAACATGGCTTCGTAGCTTTGTCAGGTTGCTAGACAGCTTGTAGATCCAGTTGACCGCGCCCAGGTAGACTTCGCCCGTTTTGTTGTGGACCACTAAATGTGTGAGACCTCCTTCCGGTGGGGAGAAAGAGAGTAGGGGGGTGGAGGAGGAGGGTATGGACAGGGAAAGGAGAAGGAAAAGGATGGGAAGGATGAGAAGAGGTGGGTTGAGGTGGGAGGACATGGCGGTGAGGGAAGGGGAGGTGTGAGCGAGTGGGTGTAAGTGTGTATTTTTGAGTGTGTAATCCTCAATCCAATACAGGGTCAGTCAGCGCCGTATAGGACTGCAGGGTATGATGATACAAAAGAAGAGTTTCTGAGCAATCGACTTCCTCTTTCGTTTTTCCTCCTTTCTCCGCTGTTGTTTTTATAACCTCATCCCCTGATCCTCAGCCTCGTCCACCACCAGCCCTGAGAAAGAGAAACAAAGCAAAATCTTAGCAAACACAGATGTCAATATATTCATGGACTTGTGTTTGGCACTTCCAGAGATCTGACAAAAGGGATTTATTTGTTTGTTTCGAAATGACAAGACACTAAATATTCGCCCACAGACCCAGACTGAGAGGCCTCGATGTTGAAGTCCAAAAAAACAAATGAGGGCACTATCGGCTTTGTTTTATTGACTTCTCGACTCTTGGCTCGCACCACTCTGTGGAGTGCATCTTTTAAAAGAAGACAGGGCCAAACATCGCTCCTCTGCGTATCGATTGTCTGGAGGTATTAAAGGATCCAGCATATGCACACAAAAATACATACACACTTCAAATACACACAAAAGTGCACAAAAACACAAAGAGTGCATGCAAGATAGACAACATGTATGTGCATGCAACACACATTAAAAAAGGGAGACCAGCACACACATACAAAATCACAAACAGGTTGAGCCACTGATGTGCAACATCTTGATAGCAGGTAAACATCCATAAATCCCATTCAGGGCTGTAGGGAGAATCCTATAGTATATTTACTACAATGCAACAGAGCAGAGAAATACAGGCACCCTGCTTCTAAAAGAGAAAAGAGAGAGAACTGGTCCCACATGATAAAAGAGGAGAGACAGTGAGAGGGAGAGAGAAGTGAAAGCTATTTGGGTTCATACCAGTTCAATAGAAAGGTGGTGGAGATGGTGGGAAAGATTGCTATAAGTGAAAGAAAAAAAAAAGAAAAGGGAGACAGACCATCCACCTATTTTCTATATCCACTTTTGCAGTTATATAGAGGCTGAATGCACTGGCGGACAGGTAAAGTCTTGAAAGTTGTAGTAGCAGTGCAAAAGCAACTTGGCTGCTGCACATGCTCAGTCAACACCATTGTTGCTATTATTATTACTATCATGTGATGAAGATGATGGATGTTACTGATTGTTTTCACTTGGTTGAGGGAGAAACGTGCTGGCGAGAGAGCATTTGAAATCTAGGAAAAACATTTATGTCCAAAATTTGCAGTCTCCACAGTCAAAACAAGAGTTGGATTCCCCCTTACTGAAACACAAAAGTCACATTATTTGCTCATTATTTTGCTGATGTCAGGAAACCAGCAAAGATCTTTTTCTCTAAAAGCAAGCAATATGCACTGCAATAGACATAGAAAGGGGGTGGCACAGAAAATGAAATTTAGCTAACTTTAAAACATACTTTTCAACTGGTTATCAAACAGTCTCAATGTAATACTAATGCCTCTATATGATCTGTGTAAATAAGACCATCAGAGAGAAGACTGACTACTTCTATATAGTTATTCTCAAATGCTTTCCGCTGGGACTCGGTCGGATTCCCATGACGAAGAGGCGGTGGTTTTAGAGTGTTTAAGGAAATACTTGTGGTGTTTGCTAACTGACAGCCAATCCATTTGGCTGAAGACAGTGGTCTTGGCTACACAATGCTTGTGACGAGAGATCACCATGCAAACGCTGCAAATTGTTTTGTTTGTGGATTGGTTTTAAAAGCCATTTTGCTTTGACAAAATTGATCCACCTCTACTGGCTGACGAACTCAGAAGCAACCAATCAGGCACCATCCTGGAACAAGGGTATCCAGCTCTATCAAAACATCCATGGGATCAACCATGAGGTAAAGAAATTATATTTACTGATGCCACCTTTCAGGATCAAACAATCAAACAGTCATTTATCATTGGCACAGAAACAAAATAGGGATTCAAAAGGATAATATTATTTGGAACAGTTTTAAACCAGCCACATACCCGCATACTGTCCAACCTTCTTTTCATTAGTTCATTGGTTTATGGTTGGCTAAATACAGAGGACAAGGCAAAGGCTTGTTTCATAATGGAGTTTGGTCAGCAAACTATTCTCGTCTCTTATTTCTGTCGCTGTTTCTCATTCCTCCCTTTCATTACATTCCTCTCTTTCTCTCTCTCTCTCTCTGTGTCTCTCTCTTTCTCTGTGTCTCTCTCTCAGACACTTCACTTCTTGTCAATAGTGTCTTTCATCTCCAGCCCAGCCATGATTACAGTGGCCCAGATGACGATGCTGTTGCCTGTCTCATCAGGACAAAACAGCTACTGTTAGCCCCTTAGACACATACACGCGCACACACACACGCGCGCACACACACACACACACGTGCGCGCACACACAACACACACATACAGTATTTGAAAAAGCATTTTTACACACTCACAGATCCTACTGACTTGACCACTACCTCTCAACACACACACACAACACACACACACTCATAATTGACATAAAACAGACTTGCCCACACACACTCATGCACCACCCATGCACTTGTCCCATAGATCAACACAAGAATGTACACACCACTGAATAAAAAAAAAAAAAAAGTACAGGAAATTAAACTTACTGTACTAAGTGATATGTTAAGATGGCTATTTTTACAGTATTCTCATCTCACCCTCTCTGATGTAGTTTATAAATTCTATAAATAAGTCAAAATTATGCAGCACACATGGCCATATAGCTTTAGTGGCCAGTGCAGCTGAGAGCTGACGATGTCAGGAGCTATTTGACTAAACTGGGACAAAGAGATGAGAGGAAAGAAGAAGACAGCTGCGAATTGAAAAACTAGTTTTTGATTTAAAAGTGTCTGAATTAGATCAAAAGGAAAACAACAGTTGAGTTTATGGATGAAGAAACTAGTTAGAAAAGTAGCTGTGGGCACACACAAAGATGGAAAGGAGAAAAAAAGACAGGAAAATGAGACGGAATATTTTAATGGGGTACAAACTTTCTTCCTGCTGTGCATCCAAACAGTCCAATAACTCATGTTACAATACAATTATGTGGTTATTAAATTGTTGGTGTTCTTACCAAAATTCTTCCATTTATTGTATATGGTAAAATCAATTATAGATAAATTAAGTTCATGGATACCACTGTATTGGTGCTACAGTATATTTTGATACCAATACTTAAGCTTTTAAAGTGATATAAAACATTATTTTGCCTATCCAAGCTTCTCCATGAAACATCTTTGAAAGCATCTCTAACCAGACAAATGGGAGAAAATGTTATTACTACATATATCATATATAATTTTCCTCAAACTGATCAGCATCGTATCTGATCAAAGAAAACCTTGAATTAGCCGGGCCTTCACTCCTGTGAGTGTGTGTGTATGTCAGAGCCATCCTGAAGCCCACCTGCCACATCAGATGAAGCTGTAGAAGCGTTCAGGTCTATCCTGTGCTGATTTATTGCTGTTGGCACATCGATTGCACACACAGCCACAGACCTTGGCCAAACACTTAGGCAAATTTATACACATCACTTCTTTAGCATGGAGCTCACATCCATGCCTGCTGGCCTTACTCCGTGTGAGTCTGTGCGTTTCTCTATGTGCATGTGTGCACGTGTATGTGGGTGTGCGTGTGTGTGCATCCTGCGTCTGTACAATCTTATTTACTACTAAAACACACACAGACACACATCCAAACATATTGGGCTATACATAAACTGTTTGTACACAAAGCACATGTAATGGCAGTGTACAGTACAAACCACAGGAAAAGTATAAACATTTACATTTATACCCTTTCCATTTTAAAAACATTTCTTCTGAAATGTGGGGAACATAAGCAGGAATTGAACCACTTGGTACCAGGTTTGGATTTCTATCTATAATTTGCAGCATAATCACTTTTTTCACAGCTTAAACCACTGACCGACCTGTGTGTACTAACTCAAATATGGAGAAATTGTGTCTCAGAGATAAAAATGTATGTGGATTAGCTTTTCTTTAGCCTTGAGATATAGGTTCTCTGGAGCCTGCATCCAAGCCAACAGTGAGTGCCTCTCCGACTGCTGATCATGTGAAGGCAGACCTACAGGTTATATACATGATCTGCATTATGAACTGACCACAATGTAGAACATGGAGCACAGTGCAAAGGCAAAGTATAGCTTACTCTTAAGCAACAAATTATTCCATTTTTGATAACCGACGGTTGTTTCAGTCGTTTTTCAAGCCAAAAACATTGTTGGCTCCAGGTTATCAAAAATGGGGATTTTAAGCTTTTATTTGTAGTGTGACAAAGAAACTGAACATTTGGGCATTTGGAAAATCTATATGTGCATTTTCACAATGTTAAATTATTGTCAGATGCAGACCTATTGACATCAACAACAGGGTAAACATGAACAACAAAACAAGCCTAGCAAAGGCCATTTGTCAATTATCTATTTTGGTTTAACACAAAAGGAGGAAGAGTTTGAGTTAATGAAACCGTTTTTTTCCCTTTTTGTCCATCATGGGCTGCTTTCATGTTCCATCATGGACAGCTGTCATTGGCTGTGCTTCTTAAAAAGGTAATCAACCAACAAGGTCAGAGTTAAAACAGATTTTGAGCAAAGGGGCGAGGTGTAAAATTGAAGTGGCACATAGTGCCCGAGGTACTCCTGCTGCTGCTGCTGCTGCTGCTGCTATGTTCAGCAGCTTTGCTCTCTGATTTTGCCGGTGATCGTGTTTATAGAGCCTTAGGTATGTGAGTCAACAAACACTGCTAGCTTTAAAACCTTGGAATACATGTTAGGTGCTTTTTATGCTCTAACAAGCAGCAACTTCCTCTTTACCATGTCACAGACTTTCACAATGTTCATCAATCAAGCCACTATCATTACAGTAATGTCCCTTGATTCAAAAGGTTTGCATTGGAAAATGTGGAATTTGATCATTTTTAAACTCTAGTTTCCCAAAGTCCCCAAAGAAACTACATCACACTAACTTATTTTGTTCTGTTTTGATTTTGTTCAGGTTTACCCATACCCATTGTGTGTATATATATACACACAATTCAAAAAACAACATAAAAAGGTGTGTACGTAGATGATGTCTCAGCCAGGAAACAGCACATTTAATGCAGCAACAGAGTCAAAGACGTTATTTTCCAAAGGAAATGCAGTAGTTTTCATCTCTGAAACC